GAACCTGTTGTTCCTCCACAGACAACCCCTGTCTAGTACCTACCCATGCCTCCTAGCTCCCTTAAATCCTCCAGCAGGACCTCCTGTTTCCCCTCCAGTGCTATTCTGTGTTTGATGGTAATTGCTAAGTGGCGTGTGTGTGTGTGTGTGTGTGTGTGTGTGTGTGTGTGTGTGTGTGTGTGTGAGAGAGAGAGAGAGAGAGAGAGAGAGAGAGAGAGAGAGAGAGAACATTGACACAGGACAGTCCTGGGGTCTGAACGCAGAGCCCCGGGACTGAGCACTGGCTGTTTTGTTTTCTCAAGGATTGTACTCTGCCACTTTGAGCCACAGCTCCACCTCCAGTTTTTGCAGTGGTCTTTTATATTTACTGTAGTCTATTTCCTCCCCTTGGTAAATTCTTTTTTTTTTTGGTTGTGGAGCTTGAACTCTGGGCCTGGGCGTTGTCCTTCTGCTCTTCAGCTTAAGGCTTGCGCTCTACTACTTGAGCCACAGTGCAACTTTGGTTTTCTGGTGGCTTAGTGGAGATAAGAATCTCACGGCCAGCCCAGCCTGGCTTTGAACCATGGTCCTCCAATCTCAACTTCCTGAGTGTAAGGTCTGCTCCTGCATGGCAAGCAGACTCCATCCTCCTCCCAGCAAAGACTCCACTCAGTACCTGTATTACCTAGGCAACTGGCACACCTGGAAGAGGTCACCTCTGCATCTGCTGAGGTCACATCTGGATTTGATGTGGCTACACCTGTCCCCGCCCCTACCCTAGATAAGGCCTAGCTCAGGGCCAGAGGCCCCCTTTCCTATGTTGAAGTGCCAACATGGCCTGGTGCCAGCCAGAACGATGAATAAACCTACCCCTTACCTGAATACCACATGTGTGGTGTTGTTCTTACTCGGCCACCCCTTTAAAACCTAACACTGAGTAGTTAGGATTACAGGCATGAGCCAGTAGCACCAGGCCTTGATAAATTCTTTTGAATTCCTGAAGATACCTTTCATTAAGTTTGGAAATGGTTTGTTGAACACTGCTGAGACGTCTCACAAAGTCTACTTCATATCCAAAACAAGGTGGGACACTCAGAGCTCAAGGAAGGATCCAGAGTAGACTTTCTAAACTGAGATTTAATAACACTGAAACCAAATCCCCACATGAATGTAGATATATGGTACATTTGGACAGGCCCAGGATGTCTTAAATCAACAAAGGGATCTTCTATGTTCAGAAAACTAGTTTTGTAATGTGTTCCACCCTTGACAAGTGGCAAATCCATTCTTAAGGTTTTTGGAAATCATCAAAAGAATGATAACCAATATTTAATAATAAAACTATAATCATGTGTGATAAAATAAAATGCAACACTGAATATTTGCATAATACTAAGGTAAAGTGACTGGAAAATTTTGCATCTATCAATCTATATCTATATTGATATAGTCATCTATCGCTATATTTCCGTTCACTTATTGAGGCTTCAATTACTAAACAGTGATCCCTCAACTATCGTGGAAGCTATGTCCCAAAGACCCCCACCATAGGTGAAAATCCACAAAGTGCAGTACAGCGAGAGACAACTATATAACACTGCTACTTTGCAATTTTCACCTATTGTGGGGGTTTCTAGAAGGTAACTCCCACTGTGGATACAGATATGTAGAGGTGGAAATTCTGTCCATTTGAATCACCTCTTCCCAATCTAAGTCAGGAAAAGAAAGTGAATTAAAATTATTCCAAACTATGATGATTATAGTTTCTTAGGCATATTTTGTATTCTTAGTGAATACAAAATGTGGTTCCAGGATCTTTTCTGATTGTTTTTGTTTTGTTTTGTTTTTTGTGCCTGTCCTGGGGCTTGAATTTAGGAGTGGTGCTGTCCCTAAGCTTTTTTGCTCAAAGCTAGAGCTCTACACTTGAGCCACAGCTCCTCTGCAGTTTTCTGGTGATTGAGAGGTAAAAATCTGGCTGGCTTCAAACTGATCCTCAGTTCTGACTCCTGAGTAGCTAGGATTACAGGTGGGAGTACCATGGTCACCTGGATTCAAAATGAAGATGAATCTGTTCGTCTTCAATAGGTTTGAGCATCTTCAATGTCACAACATTATTTCTACTTGTTCATGGCAGTGTTTGGGAAACAAGCCTAGATACTTGTGCCCACCAGGCAGGTGATCTCTCACGGAGCAACACCCTAGCCCAAACCATTTTAGGAAAAAAAAAAAGTTTTAACATCTATTTTGCAAATCACTACTCTACAAAAAGCAAATCTATAACATGAAATTCTTTGATGTATCTTCAACATTAAGCACCTTTTCCTAATGGCATGTGTAAAACACACGATTATGGTTTTATCTGGCGGTCTTCTAATCTTGTATAGAAAACCACCTTGTGAAGGCAATCAAAAACTGAACGTTCTCTGGCGTTTTATCCCCAAAGGGCAAATTAGCTGTTTCGTGTAGGTAAATTCACCAGACTTCCAGCATGCAGAACACTGCGGCTGGCACGAGGGACCCCTAGTTGTGTGGTTTGTGTCTGCACAGAGTGGAGGCCAGGAACCCACAGCACCGCGATGAAGTCGGTGTGTAGGTGGTCTTGGTGACTCAGGCCGGTGCCATGTGTGTTCGGAAGTAAGTTACTTTTAACCTTGGTTCCTGAGCTCAGATGAACACTGCTCATGCTCTGCCTAAGATCAGAAGGGCCCCTTCCCTCCTTGCAGTTACATGATTAAGTGACTTCCGGGCTCTCGGTGGGGAGGGCAGGTTTCTAATCCAGGGTCGTGAGTCCTCCCCAAGTTCCACGTCACAGGCTTCTCCTTCCACGTAACGTCATGGGGTCTCAGCTTTGTGGTGTGTAGAGTGGTGGCCAAGGCCTGCGGTTGTAGAAATGCAATCAGACTCCACTCCTCGGTTCTCCATTGGGCCGCTGGTGCCGGCTCCGGTGTACACCCCTCACCCCCCCTCCCGCCGGCTCGTCAGTGCTGCCCCCCCCCCCCCCCGTGCCACTCCCGGGCCCGCCGGTGCCCCACCCCCTGGGCTCCCCGGTGCGGCTCCGTCAGCGCCGCGAGGTCTCCAGCGAGCCACCCAACTCCAGGACGGAAGCAACCCGGGTGCTGGCAGGCGTCCCCGCGGGTCCCTCGGCCATGCTGTTTTGCAGGCACTGTAAGGGTTAATCTGGGCTGTCAGCGGATCGCACACACGACTTCAAACAAACATTTCCACGCGGCTTCCAAAGGCCACGAGGCCTCACGGGCCGCTCGGCCCGTCACCGGGGACGGACACGACCTCGGTCGCAGCGGTGCTCGCCGGTTTGCCGCACAACACATCCAGGAGACCCGGACTGAAACCCGATCCAGTCCCCACGGCGGCCCGAAGGTGTAGGGGGCCTTGGGAGCCCCGCCCGGCCCTCCGATCGCCAGACGCGGAGACGGGGCAGGGGACGCCGGGGACCTGCAGCCCGAAGCCGGGCAGCAATTCCGGGAGCGGAGGGACCCGGAGGGACTCGCGGGGAACCGGCAGGGCCGGAAGGCCGGAGCCGCCCCGGAGTTTGCACGGGACAAAGGCTGGCGCTCGGCCGCTGGGCGGCCCCGGGGGCGTGGCCTAGGCAGGAAGGGGGCGGGCCGGCGCGGCGGTTGTCACGGCAACGGCGCGCTCCGCTCCGGCTCTCCAGAAAGCCCTACCTCGGCCGCCCGGGAGGGAGGGGCGGGCCGCGGAGCCCCGCCTGGTGCCTGCCGGGGTGGAAAGCGCGTTCCAGTCGTCCGACCGAGGAGTCGGGAGCGAGGGGAAGCGTCTCCCGACGGCCCGCCCTTCGCATGCGAACGGCCCTCCACAGAGCTTGCCGCCGGGCCCCTTTGTCTCCAGCCCGTTCCAAACCGAGCTTTGGGAGGCGACACAAAGGGAGGGTGGTGGCGAACGACGCAGGCGCGAAAGCCGCCTTGGCTGCTGGGAACGGTGGTCCCGCCGCGCTCCAGGCTCCCTCCCGCGCGGCCTGTGGCCACGGCCGGCCGAGTACGCATGCGCCCCCACTTCCGCCTCGCCCGACCACGCCCCCCGCGTCCGCCTCCGCGGGAGGACCCCGCACTAGTACTAGAAGCTCGGAGGAGGAACTCTTGGATGCCACGCCCTCTCACCCTTCTGATTGGACGCCGAGGTAAGGGCGACCACACGATTGGATGCGAGGATTGTCAGTTCTGCTCCAGGTCTTACTTATACCTCTTTGCGAGGCGGGGATGGGGAGCGTGAGACTGCGGAAGCCCAGCTCCTTGCTGTCGTGCGTCTGAGTCTGAGCGGCTGAGGCTTGCGGTCCATCCGGGCCCAGGCTGGTCCTCGGCGGAATAGGCCGCCTCACGAGTCTCCTGGCCGTGTGCAGCGCCGCCCTGCAGCCTAGCCATGCAGGACCAAACTCCTAGTAAAGTTTCTCCTGGCCTGCCACCCCAGCCCCGGACGCCCCGCCGTTCCCCCGCGACCCTCGCCCCCAGCGAGGGTGACAGGCGAGGCCACGCCCCCTCGGGGGGCGGCCTCGCGGCCCGCCGCCCCCCGGCCCAGGACGGTGAGGGGCGTGAATGCGGCGGGGGCGGGGCCGCCTCCGGGAACGGGCGGGGGGGCGGGGTGCGCATGCGCGGTGCGCTCCGAGCCGAATGTTTCCCAAGTGTTTGAAACTGGTATTTGGGTTTTCCACGTTGGACAAGTGCGGCGCGGCGGGCAGCGGAGCGCGCCCTTCCCGCGGTCTGCCCAGCTCCCTCCCCTCCACGGCCCGGCAGCCGGTGGTTGGCGGTGGCCAAGGCGCTCGGCCTCTCGGGTGTGTGTGCGCGCTCGTACCCGCGGGCCCCCCGCGCCGCTCGCCGCCGGCGAGGGGGCCTGCGCGGCCGGCCGGGCGTGCGCCGAGAGCCTCCGCCACCGCGGCCCGCGCCCGCAGGCGCCGGGGTCCCCTCGGCCCCGGAGGCGGCGCGGCGGAGCCCGATGCGGCCGCCGGCCGGCCGGGCCGGAGCGGCGGGGGGGCACGGGAGGCCCGGCGCTTTGCATTTTGCAGGGCTGTTTTGAGGGGGGCGGGGGGGCGGAGGAAACGGAAAGCCGCGCCGAGTCGCCGGGGACCCCGGGGCTGAGCCATGTTGAGTCCTGCCACCGGGGAGCAGATCCGCCTGGTGAGCTATGTGGAGGACTACCTGGACTCCATCGAGTCCCTGCCGTTCGACCTGCAGAGAAACGTCTCGCTGATGCGGGAGATCGACGCGAAATACCAAGGTACGGCGGGTGATGGATGGGCGGGGGCGGCCGCGGCCGTCCATCGGTCCTCCCGGACCCGGCGCGATCGGCGGGCCGGGACGGCCTTGTCGCGGGCAGGAACAAAAGGTCCGGATCGCCTTTGATCCCCCGCGGTCCTGTGCGCCGAGCCCGGGGCACGGAGGAGGAAGGAGCGCGAGCAAAGCGCTCTTTGTAGTGGAGCGGCGAGGCGGGTGCTGCGGGGGAGGGGGCGCGGGGCTCGGCCGCGGCGGCGGGAGGTGGGGGGCTGCCGGGCGCGGGCTCGGCGCCTCGGAGGGGCGGCTGCTGGTCGGGGCTCCGGAGCGCGGGTCTGATCGTCGCCGCCCCCACCCAGTCCTAGATCTGTTACATAAAAGTATGGTCGGGGTCGCCCAGCGCCCCTGCCCAGCCCCCTCCGGCCCTCCTTCGGCGCTGGACCCCGAGTGTGACCGACAGCGGTGTGGTTCGCGGGGGGCGAGGGCTCTTCACGGTGCTGGGTGTAAAGGAAAAGGAGCAGTGCGGGGAGGGCGCCCTCCGTGCTGTGCTCGCGGGGTGCAGGCAGACCCCCGGCTCAGGAACGTGGCAGGTACACGGACCTGTGGTCCCCTCCCTACAGACCCGGCCCCCCCCTCCACTCCCCCCTCCCCGAGGTGGGGCCTTCGTACCCGAGAAATGTTGACTGCTTGGGAAACTTTGCCGCGAGGTCAGGCAGGGCACAGAGGCTCAGGTTTGAGTGCAGATGTGTTTTGGAGTTTACTGATGTTTACATGGCTGCGCAGCAGGGCGACAGGAGAGTTGGATTGGAGGGAGAGTGGATAAGGGGCGTCCGCCTAGCAGCGCACCCAGATTGCGCGGGGAAAGCGCCCCTGCGCGCTCTGCCCGAGACGTCGCTTCGCAGCTCCCTTTATAGGAAGTCATTAGCATATTGCGGAATGTTCCGCCTCAGCCCTCTTCTGATTCGTCGTGACGTTTCCATGGAATGTCCTTATCAGTCCGCTGCCGAGTTACTGGTCGCTGGACCGGATGAGGGCGGGCCTTACTCTGTGACTGACTAGAGTCAGTATTTCCGCTGCCTTTTTTTCCCTTCTGGAAGTGGGGCGGGGCAGAAAGGGAGGTCGAGTTGATTTGAATGTCTTTGGCCTCCGGTCTTGGATTGGCTCCTGGCATTCTCGAGTACTGCGCGTTGATTGGCGCCCCGCCTGTCTCCGCCCCCGGGCTTCTCGATCCCCATAGGTGGCGACTGCAGGGACGGGGTGTACTATCCTCTTCCCATTGGCTGGATCCGATCCGGCCGGATCCGATCTCCACCCAGCCCGGATCTTCACCGAGCCTGGCCTGTTCGCCACCAAGCGATGGCAGCTGCCGGTGTTCGAGCTTGCTCTCTGGCACCCCTTGGAAACCGTGGGACTTGCGAGAGGCCAGACCCACTTATTTGGTGTCCCAAGGGGGTGGCTGCACCTGGCCAGAAGACAATGTGAGTGACCGGGGGTGTGTGGACCCAGTGGGGATCGTGAGGAATGGGCGGCCGGGATGCTGGGTGCCACACTAGCCCCGGCTGCCTCGAGGCTCTGGAGGAAGTGGAAGCGGAGCTGGGCCGGCATCGCAGCGCAAGGCCGCGAGGGTAGGGTTTCCGGCCGCCGTCGAGGTGTCGTCCCAAGCCCCCTGGACGGTTGCTCAGAGAGACTGTCCAGAACCTAGCCTTGATCCGGGTCCTGAACCCAACCTGAGCTGGCCCCGGATACGTTGCTGGTTCTTTGGAGATACGAATCTCATGGAGTTGCCCGCCCTGGCTAGCTTTGAACCGCCGTTCTCAGATCTAAGCCTCCTGAGTAGCTAGGATCGCCGACGTGAGCCACTTACTGAGCTTTGGCACTTTGCCTGTACTTTTTAGTGGAACGTTTTTGGAAGACAAAGGTCAGCAGCAGCTGAAGAATCGGCCAGACAGGACAGGAGCCTCAAGTGCAGCCTGGTGTTCCTGCCCTGGCTTGTTAACCCTTGTGCCTTGTAGACAGTATGTGTCACTGTAGGTGACATCATGCGTGTGTGTGTGCATGTGCTCACATGTGCTGGTCTTGTTGTGTCTTTTCCACTCATGGCTCTTGCTAGCCACAGCTCCACTTCCAGCTTTTTGCTGGTTAGTTGGAGATTAGAGATTCACAGGCTTTGTTTTTTGCCTGGGTTGGCTTCAACCTGTGATCCACGGATCTCAGCCTCCTGAGTATCTAGATTTACAGGAGTGAACCACCAGTGTCTGGCTCAGAATTACTTTTTGGTGATTTTATGATGGAACATCAACTTACCCACAGGTGAGGCTTTGCCTAGAGATGAACTTGCCAGTGATGTAAAAGAACCTATGTATTACTTAAGTTTAAATTAGTAGTGTGTTTGTCATAAGTTTTTGGAGTTGAGATCTGGGCAGGGTGAGGGGTAACATCTAGACATTGCTTCCACCTCCTCTGTGCCCCTCCACCCCCACACCCTTTCTGGAGAGTCTAATATCCTTGCCGTATTTTAAGTGAGACTCAAAGATTTCACAATAAAACTTAACAGTTTACTGTTTGAGAAGGATAACTCTGGGGATTTTCTGTATATTTAAGTAGGCTTTTGGCAAAGATAGTTCCTTTATTTCAGTTAGATTATTTAACAGCTTTTTATTACTTGAGAAATTGTCTAATGTTACTTGCCAAATTGCATTTTAAAATCACATACACAATATGTAGCCTAAGAGGGTACATTTAGTATTGAGGGTTTGTTGACTTACAGTTATGAAATTGGAATTACAAACAGTAGGTGCAAATGTAAATTGCCACATATGTTTTGGCAATACTGACGTTTGAACTCAGGGCCTTGAGTTTGCTAGGTAGACACTCTGTTGTTGCTTGAGCTATACCCCCAGGCCCCCATTTCTGTTTCAAAGCAAGGCTATGCTTTCTGATTCATTATTGCCAAACCATCACTTTTTTATTATTGTTTGAGACTTGGTTTCCTATGTAGCCCAAGTTGGCCTTGAAATGGAGATCCATCCACCCACCTTATCCTGCCAGGTTCTGGGATTACAGGTGTGACCAGCACAGCTTGCAACCATACCATTGTTTTTAACCATACAGAAGAACCCTATGTTGGGGTGATCACTGATAGAGGCTCTAAGTCTGGGCCTCTGCCTGCTAACCCTGATTTAACCTATATGGGCCTATTGGCTATATTCATGCACATTCCCCCATAGGGTAACTGGATGTTGATATGTTAAAGAGAATAAAGGTCTTGAATGATTACATATGAAGGAAATATAGACCTAGTTGTTTTACTAGGAAAAAGGTTTGGTTTCAAGCTGTTCTCCTAACTTTGTCACCCGTGTGCTTGATGCCTCAGAGGCAGTTTTATGGTGGGAGTCATTTCAACATTTCTTTAAGAATGATAGTCTATAGAAAGCTTCACAGCTGGTACAATACTGGGAAGGTTCACCTGGGCCATTTCTGTCCCTTGCACTTACTTTAGCAAATGAAGTAAAAGCCTCCTTAATGGGAGAGTCCTCCCATTAAGCTGTGTTTGGAGCCCCAATGGGTAACAGTGTTGCTTTCACTTGCAGAGATCCTGAAGGAGCTGGATGACTACTACGAGAAGTTCAAGCGGGAGACGGACGGTACCCAGAAGAGGCGCATGTTGCACTGCATCCAGAGAGCTCTGATCCGCAGCCAAGAGCTCGGCGACGAGAAGATCCAGATCGTGAGCCAGATGGTGGAGCTGGTGGAGAACCGCATGCGGCAAGTGGACAGTCATGTGGAACTCTTTGAGGCCCAGCAGGAGATCAGTGACAGCACCAACAGTGGCAAAGCCGGGCAGGATAAGTCAAAGAGCGAGACAATCATACAGGCAGACAAACCAAACAACAAACGGTCCCGGCGGCAGCGCAACCACGAGAACCGAGAGAATGCCTCCAACAACCACGATCACGAGGACCTCTCCACAGGCACGCCCAAGGAGAAGAAAGCCAAGACCTCGAAGAAGAAGAAGCGCTCCAAGGCCAAAGCAGAGCGGGAAGCCTCCCCGGCAGACCTCCCCATCGACCCCAATGAGCCCACGTACTGTCTGTGCAACCAGGTCTCCTACGGAGAGATGATCGGCTGCGACAATGACGAGTGCCCCATCGAGTGGTTCCACTTCTCCTGCGTGGGCCTCAATCACAAACCCAAGGGCAAGTGGTACTGCCCCAAGTGTCGGGGCGAGAGCGAGAAAACCATGGACAAAGCGCTGGAGAAGTCCAAAAGGGAGCGAGCCTACAACAGGTAGTTTGTAGCCCCGTGCTGCCAGTGCAGAGAGGAACATCTCGGTGGTGTGCTTGGCGCTACCCTGCGGAGGCCTGAGATTGTCAGGTGAAGGTTTTCAAGGGTGTTCGCAGTGGGTCTATTTCTACTGAGACACACGTGTAAGAAGACTGGTCTGGGATCAGCATTTTAGAACTAAAGATAGGTTTGAATGAAAGACTTGAGTGAGACTCAGACTGATTCAGGGTGGGGAGTGACTTGGAAGCAACCTAACAAATTAAATGTGGAAAGAAAAGATTTTATTTGGCTTGTTTTATTTTATAAAATAATGTTATACTTTATGTACAGTTTTGTGTTTTTTAATTAGCCAAGTTGCTCAAAGTACGGCATACAGTAATTTGTTTCTTGCTACCATAATGTATACCGATAAAACCAATTCAATAACAAAGGTTTAAAGTTCAAAAAATTATTTTTTAAAAAGGCAACTGGGTAAATTTTACATAACAGCTGTTTTATATACTGGCCTGTTCCCCTATGGCTATTTTTAAACGATTGGGTACCTTTTTATTAATTCACACATAGGTGGTTTAGTCATGGAATTCAGATTATGAGTGTAGCCATCTCTAACTTTATTGAAAAGTATGTAAATGTGTCTTTCCAGAGTTCTCACTGTGCTATTGGAAGCTCAGCCCTGGTGCTGTTTTGAGGCCAAGGTGTGTTGCACTCTGTGTGTGTGTGTGTGTGTGTGTGTGTGTGTATGTATGTGTGTGAGAGAGAGAGAGAGAGCACACACACTGCACACATGTCAGCAGGAAATAAAGAAATGTGGCCAGTCTGTTTCTCCAGCAGTATATTTAACTTTAACAATAAAGCTAAAAAGTCTTGTCTTAAAAACATTTATATACCAGCATTTTAGACAAAGCCTTAAGCAAGTTGTGTATTGTGCTCACACTAATAAAGTAGAAGTTACCTAATTGCCAGCAGATCTACATTTGTTTAGACTAGAGGTCAGGCAATGACTGGCCACCACCAGATCCGGCCCACCATCTGCTTTGGTGTGGCTTGTATGCCAAGAATGGTCTTTACATTGAATATGGTTTTAAAAGTCATGCTTCATGATACATGAAAATCATATGAAAAGCCAATTTCAGTGTCTATAAATAAAGTTTCTTTGGAACATAGCCCTCATTTCCTTATGTATGGTCTGTGGCTATTTTTGCGAAACAGAGTGGAGAAGTTACTACCCAAACTATAGCAGCAAAGCCAAAAATGCTTCTCTGCAGGACATTTGCCAACCTCTGCTCTGGCTGGCTGCTTGCATTGGGGATCTGGGCCCTTCACTGTCCATACTAGAGTCTGGAGTTTTCATTCCTGAGTGACACGTGGTTTTCTCTAGCTGGAAACGTGAAGACAGGTCTGGGTATGTGGAGTTGCCAGACAGTGGAACATGCTCACCGATCACTGTGGCAGCTGTGGCACAGATTTATATTTTGTTCACTGACCGCTTTTTGTGTGTATGGGCGCGTGTCCCAATACTGGGGCTTGAACTCTGGGCTTGGGTGCTGTCCCTGAGCTTTTTTTATTCAAGGTTGGTATTCTACTAATTGAGCCATAGCTCCACTTCTGGCTTTTTGGTGGTTATAGATATGAATCTCTGAATGGGCTGACTTTGAACCATAATCCTCCGATCCCAGCTTCCTGAGTAGCTAGGATTATAGGCACCAGACATTGGTCCATGACCACTTTTTTGTTGTTCTAATTGGTGGTGGGGCTTGAACTTAGAGTCTAAACCCTGTTCCTGAACTCCTTTTGCTGAAGGCTAGTACTCTACCACTTTGGGCCACAACACCACTTCTGGTTTTCTGGTGGTTAACTGGAGATAAGAGTCTCACACACTTTCCTGCCTGGGCTGGCCTTGAATTACAGATGTGAGCCACTGGTGCCCAGCTATGAGTCTTTTACAATGACCTGTGCAGAGGTTTGTGTTTTAAGAGGATGCATGTTAAGTTGTGTTCCTAGCTGTAGTGAAGTTTCTAATAAGGATACATGGCTAGTCATTGTATTCTTCCTTTCAATTTTTATTGTTGCTATAAAGGTAATGTACAGGGGGATTACAGTTACCTGAGTCAGGTAATGAGTGCATTTCTTTTTAAACAATGTCACCTCACCCCTTCCCTCACTCTTCCAGTTTTTCCCTCCCATCCCCACCCACACATTGTATAGTTCATTTTCAAAATAGAGTCTAGTGAGTAGCACTGCAGCATTTCTTTTCTCTTTGACAAAGTCAAAAGTTTGGATCTGTTCGTCTCAAGTCATTTGTTAGTTCCAGTGGGCAGCAAGAAAATGTCAGGTAAGTCCTTTAAATAGGTAAGACTTAGGGTTGAGATAATTAGATGCGTTCAGACCTGGGCCAGGTAGGCACAGAAAGGGACAAGCTCTCTGGACAGTTGCTTCAAGATATGTATTATTTGTTGCATAATAACCAAGTGAAGAGGTGAATCTAGATGAAAAGTGTAACAGGTTCTTGCTGTGATGTAATACTTCATCTTGGGCTGGACCGAAGAGTCTTGGTGTGTTCTGTTCAGTGAGTCCAGTGTACGTGGAGGAGAGCTGCCTATCCTGGGCAGGAGCCTTGGCCAGCCCTTTCTACAAGGCCTCAGTGCCCAGCATGATGGACACCGGGGTGGATGTAATGCAGCAGTGAGGAAGGAAAAGGTCATTGCATGTTGATGCTGAGTTTTCGCATACTTTTTTTTTCTTTTTGGTCATTTGTGGGGCTTGAACTCGGGCCCTGGGCACTGTCCCTGAGCTTATGCACTCAAGGCTGTGCTCTACCGTTTTTGTGCCACTTCCAGTTTCCTAGTAGTTAATTGTAGATGAGAGTCTCACGGACTTTGCTGCCCAAGCTGGCTTTGAACTGTGATCCTCAGGTCTCAGCCCTCTGAGCAGCTGGGATTATAGGCATGAACTACTAGATCCCTGCTCATTTGAATTGTTTTTGTTGCCCAGGCTGACCTTGAAGAAAGATCCTTCTACTTGTGCCCATTGAATGCTGGGATTACAGGCATGCATTACCACATGGCTCCTTAATAACTTTGTTTTTGGTTTTTGCTTCCTTGTTCTCCTTTCTCCCTCACATGGCTATTAATTGCTTATTATGAGGTGCAGGCTGGATAGCTGCTGGCCAAAGGACAGACTTGTAAAGTATTTCAGGTACTGAGGCTGACTCAGAGGTATGGATGACGTCCCAGGAGAGTGTGAGGGTGGAAGAAGAATGAGCTGGATCCCAAAGGCTCCTAGAAAGTTACCAGTTAGGGACTGTGGATGTAGCTCGGGTTGAGTGCTACACGTGAGACAAGGCTCCAGGCCCAATCGTAGCACTGTGTGGAGAGGAACATGCATGTATGTGTACATATATATGCACACATACCATGCACACACATGCATACATATACGCACATGCCTATACATAGTCACCGGTGAGAGAAGGAAGAATGTGTTCGTGTGTGTGTGTGTGTGTGTGTGTGTGTGTGTGTGTGTGGTTGTGGGGGTTGAACTCGGCCTGGGCACTGTTCCTGAGCTCTTCAGCTCAAGGCTAGCATTCTACCACTTGAGCCACAGAGCCACTTCCAGTTTTCTGGTGGTTCCTTGGAGATGAGTCTCATGGACTTTCCTGCCCGGTCTGGCTTTGAACCTTGATCTTCAGATCTGAGTAGCTAGGATTATAGGCATGAGCCACCAATGCCAGACAAGAATGTGTTCTTGATGCAAAGCCACCTCCCATCACAGTTCTGGTAATTCCTTCTGCTCTGGCCTGACAAAGAAGGATCATTGTTGCCCTCCCCTCCTCTCTCAGTCCTGGGGTTTGAACTCAGGGCTTTGAGCTTGCTGGGCAGGGGATCTACCACTTAACCTTTGCTTCTAGCCCTTTCGGCTTTACTTTTTTGATTTTTGCTTTGGGCTGAGCTGAACTGCAATCTTCTTTCTTAATACCTCCCACATAGCTGCAATTGCAGGTGTGTACTCTGGCACCCAGTTTTTTTTTTTTTTTTTTTTGAGAGGAAAGTCTTGTTAATTTGTTCTGTGGACTAATGTCACACCTGTGATTCTCAAACTGGTCCTCTGGATGATCTCCACCTTCAGAGGAGCTAGGATTGCAGGCGAATGCTGCAGTACACAGCCAGCGTGCCATCAATTTCCGTGACCAAAGCTTGTGTCTTTCATGCTCCTTGGGGTGTTGATGGAGCTCCCTTGCAGCTTTCTTCATTTTCACCCTGGAAGTACTTGATGGGTTACTTTTGAAGTTTTATTATTTCACTAAGATTGATTGATTGACTGATGGATTGATTATCAGTCCTGGGGGCTGTCCCAAAGCCTTTTCAGCCCAAGGCTTGTACTTTAGCACTTGAACCACAGCTCTGCTTTTGGCTGGCTTCTTTTTTGTTTTTTTGTTTTGTTTTGTTTTTTTTTGGGTCCGGTCGTGGGGCCTGAACTCTGGGCCTGGGCGCTGTCCCTCAGCTCTTCAGCTCAAGGCTAGCGCTCTACCACTTGAGCCACAGCGCCACTTCCGGCTTTTTTCATTTTGCTTATATGGTGCTGAGGAATCGAACTCAGGGCCTCATGCATGCAAGGCAAGCACTCTACCACTGAGCTACCTTCCCAGCCCCTTGGCTGGCTTCTTTTTTGGCGTGTGTGAGTAATTGGAGATAATTTTGTGGACTTTCATGCCCAGGCTGGCTTTGAACTGGGATCCTCAGATCTCAGTCTCCTGAGTAGCTAGGATAACAGGTGTGAACCATTGCTGCCTGCCTACTAAGATTTTTTTTTATGCTTGTTTGCAACAGATAAGGAATATAGTTGGAAATGAGTAAATAGGGTACATTAGAACAGAGAAAATTGAGCAAGAAAGGGAAGAAGGGCTGGACAGTGGTTGCTTTATGGCTATAATCCTAGCTACTCAGGAGACTGAGATCTAAAGATCATGGTTTGAAGCCAGCCCAGGCAAGAAAGTCCATGAGACTCTTATTTCCAATTAACTAGCAAAAACCTGGAAGTAGAGCTATAGCAAATAAGGTCAGGAACAGCTCCCAGGTTCCGAGTTCAAGCCCCAAGACTGGGAAGAAAGAAGGGGATGAACATTTCCTTTGTGATTTGTACTTAAAAATGGCCTTACAAGTCACAGCGATTTGTTGTTGTTGTTTGTGGTGGTGGTGGTGGTGGTCATGGGGCTTGAACTCTGGGCTTGCGTGATATCCCTCAACTCTTCAGCTCAAGGTGAGCGCTCTACCGCTTGAGCCACAGCGTCACTTCTGACTTTCTAGTAGTTTATTGGTGAAGAGTCTCATGGACTTTCCTGCCTGGGCTGGCTTTGAACCTTGATCCTCAGATCTCAGCCTCCTGAGTAGCTAGGATTACAGGCGTGAGCCACCAGTGCCCAGCTGATTTTTTTTTAAATGCTTCTGCCAGGCACTGGTGGCTCATGACTATAATCCTAACAATTCAGAAGGCTGAGACCTGAAGATCACAGTATGAAGCCATCCTGGGCATTGAAATCTGTGACTCTATCTCCAATTAATCAGCAAAAAGCAGTGCTAGCAGTGTGGCTCAAGTGGTGAAGTGCCAAGCAAGCAAGCTTGAAGCCCCAATACTGACAAAATAACCCCAGTACTGACAAAATGAAAACAAACAACAAAACACTTTTGGCCTTATTGAGTGTTCCAGGAAGTGTATTACTAATTCTCAAATTCTGCTTACTATATGACTTATTAAAAGAGTGAAATCTTGAGTAAAATCAGTAATATGTGAACTTGTAATTGTGTGTGTATGTGTGTGCATGTGCCAGTCCTAGGGCTTGAACTCCAAATGTGGGCATTGTCCATGTGCTTTTTTTGTTCAAGGCTAGTGCTTCACCACTTGAGCCACAGCTTTACTTCTGGGTGTTTTTTTTTGTTTGTCTTTTGGTCAATCATAGAGCTTGAACTCTGGGCCTGGGTGCTGTCCCTGAGCCCTTCAGCTCAAGGTGAGTGCTCTACCATTTGAGCCACAACGCCACTTCCAGTTTTCTGGTAGTTAATTGAAGATAAGACTCTCACAGACTTGCCCAGGCTGGATTTGAACCTTGATCCTCAGATGTCAGCCTCCTGAGTAGCAAGGATTATATGCATGAGCCACCAGGGCCGGG